CTTGGCGCCGAAGCAGTATCCGACGCCATAGATACCCCCGCCATTCGCAACAGCATCGGCGTATTCCTCTTTGGCGCTCTCGACGACCTTGTGCAGTAGCGGAAGAACCTTCTCGGGGGTATGACGGGCGAGCCACATATCGATCATGAATGCCTTGATGCTTTCTGCTGTCTTTAGCTTGACGGATTCGAGCCACGATGCGTCTTGCGGTATCTCGGCCATGTTGACGCTGTTCGGCGCTGGGTCGTTGTCAAACTGGTCGGGCATTACGACTAGGTAGCCTTCCGAAGCATACTTGTCAGCTTGCAGCTGGTTGTTCGTGGACTTGACGCCGGTGCCGCCAGTCAGCATAAGCATGAGTTTGGAGGGCGAGTGTGGATAGTCGGCGGGTTTTGCAACGTAGCAGTCAACGCCGCCCAGCTTCGTCAGGTCGCCGGTGGGTTTCTCGCCGGACGGCGTTGGCCGGTCTGTCGTGCAGTGTTCCTGATCAATCAGTATGTATACTCCCAGTAGAAGATGATTCGTGTGGCTCAAACGTGGAAGAAGGCTTCGTTGTTTAGTGGAATGCTGCACATGTCAAGCAAGATCACAAGACGTGCAGCCCCCCACCAACCAACATAGCTGTCGTCCGTGTTGGAGCCACACGAATCGACTTACACCCATGCTTGGTCCCTCTTGTGCTCTTGTGTCTCCGGGAAAGACACTTTCCTCGGCCGGCTCCTGGGGTTTGGCTTCATCCTGGGGCTTCTGTTCTTGTGAATCTTGGTGCGCATCGCTCTCTGGCGCACGGGCAGCTACTTCGTTGTCGGCCATGGTTTCTGTAGGACGTGAATGTGTGAATGGAAAGCTGGTGTGGAGGAGCTGCAGGTACCTACTCGGGGAAGGGTCCAGGTCCCAAAGCCAATTACGTAGCCCCGCCCTGCCGCACCATGCATCCGGCTAGAGCGGGGCTAAAGAGTCACATGACCAGACGCGTCGACGCGCTTTCTGAACTTCGCTATACCGCCACCAGTACACGCCATCTCCACACCATTACAGCCCTTCCACACCACAGTCAAAATGGCAGAGGGAGCAATCACGCAAGGCGCTATTCAGCAAGTTGTCGCGCAAAGTATATTTTTCCCCAGGTCTAACACCGCACAGGAGCATCTTTCAGCCGAGCGGCTGCTTCGTAGAGCACCCGGTCCTGCAATGCGTTCAAATCAAGACCATGGAGCCCAAGGCGGGCGAGGCGAACCCGGTGCAGCGCTTCCGCGTTGTATTGAGTGATATCCGCAACTTTATTCAGACCATGATCGCGACCAGTACGTCAGAGCGAGATGGCACCAAGACAACAATGTAGCTGACAAGGTGTAGCTGCCAACGACATTGTCACTTCCGGTCAGCTCAAGAAGGGTTCAATAGTCCGACTCCTAAAATACAACCCCCAGCGTGTCAAGGACAAGAAGTACGTACCGTCAAGCATGCATACACGACCGACCGCGCTAACACGTAGCCAGCATCTTGATCATCATGGAACTAGAGGTTCTCTCGCAGTACGGCGAACTTGACAAGATCGGGCAGCCCGAGGCTCTAGACACTAAAGCCGCCGACGCACAGCCTGCCGCTATCTCAGGCAACAACTTCTACGGTTCGAAGCCTGCGCAAGCCCCTCAACCCCAGCGGTCGCTTCCTACTCACCAGAGCAACCCTGGCACTTCCTCACACCCCAACCTCTACCCCATCGAAGGGCTGTCGCCATACGCACACAAATGGACCATTCGTGCACGATGCACTGCCAAGAGCGACATGAAGGAATGGCACAACCAGAAGGGAGCAGGCAAATTGTTCAGTGTGAACTTGCTGGACGACACTGGCGAGATACGAGCGACAGCTTTTACCGAAGTCGCTGACAAGCTGTACCCTATTTTCGAGGTGGGCGTCGTATACTACATTTCCGCGCCCTGCAGAGTTACCATCGCGAAGAAGCAGTTCTCAAACCTGCCCAACGACTACGAGCTACAATTCGAGCGCGATACTGAGGTCGAGAAGGCAGAAGATCAGGAGAACAAGCCGCAGATACGGTTCAATTTTACCAAGATTGGCGACCTCAACTCAGTCGAGAAGGACACAACAATCGATACCGTTGGTGTGTTGAAGGAAGTTGCCGAAGTTACTACGATAACTTCAAAGAACACCAACAAGGATTTCAGCAAGCGCGAGCTCACCTTGGCTGATGATAGTCAGACGTCGGTGCGACTCACCATCTGGGGCAAGACTGCAGAAAGCTTCGAGGCACCGCTGGAGTCGGTCATCGCATTCAAGGGCGTCAAGGTCTCTGATTTCGGTGGCCGAAGTTTGAGTCTTTTGAGCTCCGGCTCAATGATGGTGGATCCGGATATTGAAGAAGCTCACAAGCTGCGAGGATGGTTCAACGCTGTTGGACAGAACGCCACCTTCTCTACCCATCAGAACATGGCGTCTTCTGGCGGGGGTTCCAAGAACGACGCAAAACCAATCGCGTCGATCATCGAGGAGGAAAGCTACCTACAAGACACTCCCACGTACATGAGTGTCCGAGCGTCCGTCCTGTACGTCAAAAACACGACTGTTTCATACCCGGCATGCTCGAATACCGGCTGCAACAAGAAGGTGATTGAGGAGAACCCCGGCGCTTGGTGGTGCGAGAAGTGTCAGGCTAGCTTCCCTGAGCCCAATCACCGTTACGTGCTCAGCGTCAACGTTGGTGACCATACTGGCACATTGTGGCTCAGTTGCTTCGACGAGGCTGCACAACAGATCGTCGGCATGACGGCAAACGAAGCCATGAAGATTAAGACCGATGATGAGGAGAATGGCACAACAAACTTCATGAATGTCATGCAGGAAGCTACCTGCAAGACGTTCAACTTCCGGGTACGGGCGAAGATGGAGACATACCAAGACCAACCTAAGTAAGTTGCGAGAGAGAATCAGAATGACACAGCCGCTGACAAGATCTAGGCCTCGATACCAGGTTATGAATATCTACCCGCTCAATTACGCCCAGGAAGCTAACAAGCTTGCTGAGCTCATCAAGCAGTACAACATCAACGAGGATAGCTTGTTCGTCAACTAAATGCAGTTGGAGGCGCGCGTCTGTTTTCTGGCGACGTTCTTCAGAATGTACTGTAATGGCGGGTTGGGTCCTCTGCGCGAAACTCTTGTAGACAACTGAGATGAAATGAGGCTGTAGTCTAGGTGACAAAGTGCACATGGAGATGCCTTAGCAAGGCTAGTAACATGATATCAAAGTGCACATTTCAGCTGTTTATTCCCGTTGCCTACATTGTCCGACATCATGCACCCCACCATAGCTGCTAGCTGCATGAGTCGTGAAGCTGCCCCTCTAAAAACGTCATTACCAATCATTTCCGTAGCTACCGGAATGCTCTCGGAAAACGATGCCATCACCTCTTGCTTTGATTTTCTGACTTCCTGACTTGTCTGACATCCAATTCATGTAGTACAAGTTGCTTCTCTGTACCTAGTCTAGCTGACACCTTCACCAATTTCCTACATCCAAGACTCTAAAGTATCGCACAAGATGAGCGACACAATGCGCGCAGTAGGTGAGTAACTAGACTCACTCTTAAATCACGAACGTACTAAACAATCCAAAGACATCAAGAATGGCAAAGGTCCGCTCGAGAACCTGCACATCACTGACGTTCCCAAGCCGAAGCTCGGAAAGTCGCAAGCGCTCGTCAAGATCAAGGCCTTTGGTCTAAACCGCATGGATCTGCTACAGCGTGAGGGGCAATACCCTGTACCACCCGGCGCATCCAAGATCCTCGGGGTCGAGTTCTCAGGTACCATCGCAGAGCTGAGCGGAGAAGGAGGCGGCAAAGAAGGTTTCAAGGAAGGAGATGAAGTCTTTGGTTTGGCGTATGGAGGTGCATACGCAGAGTATATTGCTGTCTCAACGCACATGCTGGTCAGGAAACCCAAGGAGTTGACTTGGGAGCAATGCGCTGGTATCCCCGAGGTGAGTGCATACCGTGTGTAAGCAGACAGAGAGCTAACAACCGCGCTATAGACGTGGATTACAGCCACCCAAGCCATGTACCTGGTCGGCCAGTTCAGCGCTGGAAAGACCATTCTCTGGCACGCCGCCGCCTCGTCCGTCTCGATTGCCGGTATCCAACTCTCCCTCGCCGATGGCGCCTCCGCCGTCTACGCCACCGCCCGTCAAGACCCCAAGTGCGACTTCGCAGTCAAGGAGCTTGGTGCCACAGCTGCCTTCAACACTGCATCTCAGAACTGGGTGGAGGAAGTCATGAAAGCGACTGACAACAAGGGTGTCGACATCATTGTAGACTTCATCGGCGCATCGTACTTCCAGCAGAACCTCGAGGCTGTAGCCAAGGACGGTGTTATTGTGAACCTGGGTTTCATGGGTGGCACAAAGGTACCGGAGGGTACTGACATTAGCGCCTTCATCAGGAAGAGGTGCAGCTTTGTGGGTAGCAGCCTGAGAAGTCGTGATGAGGAGTACCAGGGTAAGCTCAGAGACCAGCTTGTGGAGCATGCCCTTCCCAAGATGAAGGATGGCAGCTTCAAGCTCTTTGTAGAGAAGGTATTGCCATGGGAGCAGATTCAAGATGCGCAGAGGCTACTGCAGGAGAACAAGACGAAGGGTAAAGTCATTTGCACGGTCAATTAGGTACTAAAGTAAGGAGCGAGCGGTGCAACTTTTCAATCAAGCAATTATCTTCGACATACCCTTCCATTAGCACCATCTACTTTGCTATAACAAGTGTCCCAACTGTATGATGTTGCATCGCATGTTAGAAGATGAGTGCTCCTCTAAACAATGTGAAATAGCGCAAAAAAAACATAATCCGAAAGCCTAATACAAGGGTACAACCGAGGACATCAGAACCGCAAAAAAGACGACGTTGGCCAGATTCGAACTGACGCTCCCGAAGGAACAAGATTTCTAGTCTTGCGCGATAACCACTCCGCCACAACGCCTGAGACCGACACCTGTGTGATTCGAACACACGCTCCCGAAGGAACTGGCTAACTTCCCTCAATACAGAGGACTAGCAGGCCAGCGCGTTAACCACTCCGCCAAAGTGCCCGCGATTGCTGTCAATTGATGGAAAAAAGCTAATTTACAATAAATATAATCACCACAAAATCTTTTCAAGGTTCAAGCTTAGCTGGGGCTTGGGAAAAGTGGGTAGAAAATAAGTGGGAATCTTGAAAAGTTGGAAAGCAAAACGTGGAACTTGGCTGTGGAGCTTGGAGACGAGCTTTGGCGAGTACTGGGTTGTTAAGTGCGGGGCCAACTTCGACCTGTCGGTCTTTAGAAGCTCCCTGCCCCATCTCCTCAACAGCATCTTTGGAAGCTGTTTAACACTCGCTGCGTTCCACGTGTTTCCCTAATATCCTGCAGCAAAGCACGATATACTCTATGTGCTTTCCGGGATCACCAGTACACTCTGATCCTGTAATGAGACGTCGCGACACCAATGCAGCCGCATCTATTCACAGCATTTTCTGTTCGTGGTAAGATCCTGTCCCTATTTTCCACCGTGCTTGCAAAAGAGCGCTGCAGACAACAAGACAAGGGTGCAGTATTTGAAAGACCTTTTATGTATTTATTGCTTCTCTCAAATATTACCGAAGCACTCCTGGCTTGTTCATGTATTTGTCTTGTAGCCCTTCGTGACCATGCTCAAGGTTGGGATGAGAGGCGGCCCAACTTGGGATAGAGTGAGGTATTGGGTGGAGCTAAGAAGCGCTGGCCGCGGGTCATGGCCAGACGTGTAGATGGAGGCGAGGTCCCAGAAGCGTTCATTAATGGCGAACTCGCGATGTATGTTAGTCATCCTGGCTGGCGCGTCGAAAGAAGAAACTCGGATATACATCTCCGGATGTGTAGCAAAGAGAACGATGCGGTGTATCCCGATGCTATCTTTGGCCTTGTCGATAATGGCATGGAGGTCGGGATAGTCTTGGGTTGTCTTCGTCTGGCTCCGTACCGTTTCGTATGGAATGCTACTCTTCTGGATGTGACATAGGTAGAACTGTTTGGAGAGGTCCCCGATAGCAATAATGACATTTGCTTTTGACATCTGTAAAGCCTGCCATGTCTGACTGAGCCAGTGTTCGCGGAGTAGCGCTGGTAGATGCTGAATAGGTTCAGGCATAGACGTCTTACTACAACCCGGTTTGAAGAATTTCCGATCCATCGTTATTGGGACCCAGTCAAGAAGAATCACAGCAGGCCCTTGATGTCCAGCTTTTGTGAAGTCTTGCCCATGGCCAAGACAACCTTAGCACTAGGATCTTGAATGGCTTGCCATATGATACAGTCCCAAGGCGTCGCTAGTAGAGTAATTGTACATTTCGTTTGCTGTTGGAAATCTGTGATGGCAAAGTGGAATCGAGGTTGGCAGTCAGCTAGGTATAACGATCGCATGCGCGGCATGGCTACTTTTTGGGTGGCTTAGATATAGCTTCAGAGACTTGAACACATCAAGATCATGGTCTTAGCGCTCGATTCGTGTGGGGCTTGCCGAATCTTGTCCGCCAAGTAGGGGTGGACTCCAGGATAGACCTGGGCGATTAGATTGCAGATTGTTGTAGTGTTTATGGTCGCTGCTATTTCTTTCCTGTCCAATCGCAACGGAAACGAATTGAGGAAGCAGAGGAACCATCCCGTGTGGCCTGGTTGATCGTAGCTAAGTTTCGCCGGCATGGCGAAGACCGACTGGTTAGATACATCGTCTGATGTCGAAAACATTGGATGCATAGTTGAGCTTGGGTTCGCCGTTGGATATGTTTCAATTAACATTACACTTGAATACAGGCTTGCGCATGACTTGACAAGGGCGCATCTATGTTGCTGAAGCCAAGAGGAAGGATTTGGAACCACCGGTTCTTTACTGACAGCATTCACCCACCAAATGTCAGTATGCTCGTCGATAGCTGACTAGATCATAGGCGACCTCGCCCGGCTTGGGTTTTATGAGGAATGAAGTGTCTTTCTAGCCAGACCTCTAAGAAACTTGCTGATAGCTGGGTCGTTGAGACAGGTTCAGGGGGCGATACACTCAATGTCTTCGATGATGTCCTTCCTAGTATCATCTGGGCTGAGAAGTTGGTGATCTGGCGGTAGGCTATACCCATTCCGTAGGCCATAATCGTTGCGCTTTTTCTCTTCGTCTTCGTATCCATTGTCTGCTTCGTTGTCCGCGTCAATCATCTCGCACACCGTGTCCCTCTCGTTGGATGAACTAGATGGTACGAAGCTCCAACGATATTCGCTGTCCACTGCATCCATTTCGTACGCTATTTCGTCTCTATCGTCAGGTTTGCTGGAGTATATGAATCTCCAAGTAAATTGACTGTCTACGACATCTTGGTTGACTTTGATGGGCTGAATCGTACAGGTATTGCCGCGGCTGTTTTGGTTCCGTTCGTTGGGCTCGCTCGTGTGGGTATCGTTATGGTCATCTGACGAAATGAAAAAGGATGCTGAATCGTTCCACGAGGCTTTGTATGTTAGTAGATGCATGGGAGACAGAAGGGATGCATCTTACCTCCTGGGTTGCCATGAGCGATTGCCGGATAGCCTCACTGATATATGTGGTAAACCTAGTCACACCGGAGACTACGGTGCTCTTCTAAGAAGAGACGGCGGGGCCAACGAACCTGAGGCGGCGGTGGTGGCCGACCCTGATGAGATTAATGTTGGCCAGTCAGAGTGCGCTTTTTGTCCTTCAGGTGTAATGCTGGAGATCATGGGCGACTTGGCAATGAATTTCAAGAAGCTGCGAATGAGTGGGCGGTTTAGCGACAACCAAGGTGCCGTATTTTCGACGTATTCGGTGATTTCCTCCCGGGTGATATCTGAGCTGCTAAGAGGAAGACGTAGATAATTTCGATGCGGCCGGTTTGAAGTATCTGCGTGATACTCATTGTTGCAGCGGCATTGCGTGAGGCGGAAGCGAGAGATGGAGCTGAAGATGACCAGAGGGAAAACCTCTGAGACCAATGAGAGCGATGACAGCAAGGAAATAGATCAGATGGAAGGGGCATCTGAAAGTGAGGCTGACGCTTATTCACGTAGCTTGTATGAGGCAGGTGCCACCCACGCATGCACCAGCACCTCGACTGCGGATCAGTGTCAGCGCCTTCGGCCACGATAAACCGGCGGTACGTAGTAGCGAGAGCGTCTAGCGTTCTCCTGCATGTATAAGCACTGGCATTCTTTCTCCATCATCCAAAATGGAAGACTCCGGTTCGACTATCGGATTCGTGCCGAGCAAAAACAAAGCATTTAAAACTGCATGCTTATTCTGAGACTTGTTGTTTATCTTCAAGTATACCATGTCATAATCTTACACCGCTAATAGCCATGTCCCAACGCCGAACCCAAGCCGTAACCAATCGTATACTACACCATATCTGCCCATCTGATCATATAGCAATGTGCTGCATCGTTTGTCCCTGCCCAATCTGCGACCCCAACTTAGGCAGCGGCTTATACTTCTGCTGCTGCACTGGCGTCCTGCTCTGTCCCGGTAGCGTATTCGTACCCGGATACGCCTTCTTCGGATCCGGCTTCTTTTGCTCGACGGGCGGGGTGAAGGGCTTCGGTTGCCCAGACCTGACAGCGGTCTTCTTATCGGTAGGGTACGCAGGTTTTGGCAAGCCGTTCGTTTCTGGGTAGGGTTTTGGGAGGGACTTGTTGGTAGTAGATGTGGCACCACGGCCTTTGAAGGGAGGAATAGATCTTGTAGCTCCGTTGAGAGCCTTTTGACCGCCGCCTACGACGCTTCCGGGGGCTTTTGACGCGGCGGATGGGAGGCCACCAATTGTGCTGTTTGCGCGACCCACAACGCCTCCAGTGATTTTTGACGCATTGCTTGTTACTCCACCGATAGCTCTCTGGCCACCTCCTGTGACACTGCCGACGGTCTTATTGACTCCTCCAACAGTCTTCTTTGCGCCACCAACAGCTCCTTGTACCTGGTTGCTTCCGGGATACTTCTTCGCGCCCAGGGGCACCCCGCTCGTTGCTGGTTTACTACTCGCGGGCGTCGAATTGGAGCGCTTCATCGCTGGTTTGCGGGCTGTAGAAGGCAGTGGGTTGGCCGAGGGTTTGTAAGTTTGGCCGGTAATGGCGGTGCCATAACCCGATGCTTTCTTCTCGATACCTGGAAGATACATTCAATCAGCTTTGGCCCATGCATTGTATAACGGGCATAAAACATTGGCGCGAGTGCAAGAGGTGTTTCTCACCATTTCCCACACTCCTTCCGCTGTTCTCAATCATGTCCCCCGCCTTGATCAATGCATTTCCGCCATATTCTCCCGCCGTCCGCTTCCCAGCATCTACGAAGCCTTCGACAGAGTTCCAGATAATGTTTGAGATGAAGCCCGTCATTATGTCGAAATGTTTGCGGTGATGTCTAGTCGCCAGGGAAGATGTGTCGAAGAAACGAGGCTAGGTACATGGAAGTGCTATAGTGATAGTAAGAAGTCATCGTCTCCAACGTTGCGGAGATCCAGACTTCGGCAGACCATTCTCCTGCCGATGATGCAGGTCTCTGGCGCCACTGCACCTTCGAACCTGTTTCGCTATGCAGGGGTGTGCTGGGGAGCTTACGCGCCCCGCGTTCATGACGTATGTTTTACCACAGCCCGGTGAGCCCAGACTGGCATGCTTGATGGCGATCATCTGATGCAAGTTTTTAGCCTTCGTGATGCTACGATATGGCAAAGGTGGCTTGCGTTTTCGAGACAATAATAAGGGTCCTGCTGAGCACTGCCATGTGGGGAATGTCAACTGTTCTGAAACGATGTGGGTATTACATGCTTCATTCATCGTATATATAATCGTACAAAAGCTGCGCTACCAGAATGAGACTCATTTTGTCATTTACGTACGACACCAAACGCCGCGGCCCAGGCTGAACCGAAGAAAAAAGAGAAGAGGCTCGTGAATACTGCCTGCCTTGAGGCTAGAGCAGCAGACTAAGCACCCTGCCTAGCCTTTTCAGCGCAAATCAGCGCGATAATGCGACTCAGCTCGGCGCTCTGTGCGAATTGCTCCTGCTTCGTCTT